CACTTCCTGGAGTTGTATAGAGGAGAACACTGCAGACAGAGGGAACAGCAGGTACAGTCCCAGAACCACAGTGTTCTTGTCATAGGCCTGTGGCTGGAACAGAGAGGATGCAGGGAAAGGGGGCAGAGAGATGATGTTCACATTTATTTGTTTCACTTTCACAGCTATTGGTCCATTGATTTCTCTAGAACAAATTGTGTAGGGTTGTGTGTGATCTTTTAAAGATGCTGATTTTGTTCTCCAAGTGAGATGGGAAATGAGTAGATTATTAATTGATTAAACATTTTTAGAAGATTTTGTGGCTGTCATTGTTATTGTCTTAAAAAAGTTACATTATGCCTGGAAAAGCTATTTCTATCATAATCATAGCCTTCAAAATCTTCAAATGTGTTAGGGTAGTCAGAGTACCATTTTTTCATAAAAGATTAAAACTAAAGATAAAACTAAATCACCATACTATACCTTCATATATGCTGTTTCAAGTGGGATATTTATTATTATTATAAACTAAGATATAATAAATGTAACTGAATAAATAACACATATTAATTCTTTATCTACTCTGATGCTCATGACTAAAATAGTCTAACATTCGTGGTTAAGCCCACTATTAAGGGCTTTCTCCTATCGTCACAAATTGGAAAGTTTGTATCTAGAGGAAAATTATCCCTAGGATCTTTCCAAATTCATTCCCATTTTGAAAGTTGAGAGAGTTATTCCAATATGAAGAAGGAAAAGTCAATGTGCAGTACTTGGTATGAAGAGAACATAATGCTAACTCAGGTTATCCCCTTGAACTTAGATGTCATCCACACCCCCAAGGAGTTATCATTTGCTGTCTGGTGAAGTCTTCCAGTTTCATAGAGTCCTTTATTCCTGTCCTTAAATATCTTTGTTTTGGTGTCACCTTGTCAAGGTGCTGATCTATCTCTGAACTTAATTTGTGAAACGGTGGCATGAGCAGGAAGCAGATTCTTCTTTCTCTTTGATCTTACCCATGGAGTAAGTCATCTTATCCTTTAGCCAGTCCCACCACTGAGGTCTTCCCCTAGGATGCTGGTGTTTGTGAACCATTAGGCACAACTGTAGTAAAAATTGTCCATATGCAGCCATCACATACATGATCATATATTCCCACCGTGCCTGGGATCTATCTTTCCCACACTATTTCACTGTCAAGGGCAGGTAAAGCTGTAAAACGTAATAGGTGGCAGCACTCATTTAGATCAGAGATGACTCCATTTTGAGGAGAAAAATATCCCTAAACCTCACTTCAGTGCTTAACATCAGCAGCCCTTTTTAATTAGAAGAACATTGTCTTTTTTCTTCCTTTTTCATCATTTCCCCAGCTCCCCCTTACCCCTACCCACTAGATTCTATATTTGGATTCTTCTCCATGCTCCCTCTTGGCATAATCTCAGTCATTGCCATCTACAKTATCCCTACTCTAACAAATCTCCACCATACAGTCCATGCTTGGACTCCCCACTCTCTTTCTTAATCAAAACTCCATTGCCCAAGGTTGTTTGTTCCCCTTGTTCTATGTTGCTTTAGAAGAATTATTAGCACATGACATGCTTATATGTAAATATATGCAAATAGTATAATTTATTACCTACCCCACCAGCAAATAATATTGATATTTAGATTGTAACTACCCAAACGGGTGTTGCCAATGCTGAGAAATTTCAGATAAATTTGTAGAAAGAAAATAATAAATATCCCACTTGAAACAATATTCTGCAAATTCTATAAGTGGTGGCTGATATATCAGAAGTAACACATTACCTCACCACACGGATGATGGTCCCATGGTCACACAAGCAAACGGCCAACATGCTTTGTACATTTCCTCAAGGAGGTTCTAGCATGGTGTCTGAACAAGTTAGAGAGGCTAGAATTAAGTCATGGTAACACCCTTCTACAGTGAAGGTGGCTTCTGCTTGGAAAAAAAAAGTGAAAGAAGCAGGTGGTGAAAGGTCACGTTGGATAAGCTGCAATGGATGGGCCACACGGAAGAGTCTCAGGGGTCCCTGTGGTGCCATGCTTGGGCTCTAGGCAGTGAGGCAGATCTGACTTAGGTTGCCCTTGTGAGTACCAAGTTCTGAAACTGCTATTGTTTTGATGAAAAGAGCCCCGTGGATTGTTTTTGATCTGCATATTAACAAAGAAGAGAAAGACAGCCAGGTTATTTCTTAGAAAGAACAAGAAAGAAATTTTCCCTTGAAAATGTGCAAGATCCATCTGTGCCAGAAACACACACACACACACACACACACACACACACACACACACCCTTTCATCCACTCTGTAGTTTGCTTTCTTTTATTCCTTAGTATACATGAATATGTGAAAACACACAACACTCAGACATGCAGCCTGATCGAGTGATAATCTCTTATAATGTGCTTCTATTTAAAGCAACAAACAGATGGAGGGTTTATGAGCAAGGCTGGTAAAAGTAAAAGCAAATGATTGCAATAGTTGTACTTTTAATAGGATTCCCCCACAATCTAAAACATTATTCCCCATGGAACAAATTGTTCTATAAAATTCTGTTACTTAGGAGAGATACCCACCATGACATTGCTGAGGCAACAGAAAACCCCAGAATGGCCATGATTGTGGGGGTCTCTCCACTCAGACCAGTGTCCCGGGGAAGGAAGATGGAGCTGTCAGGCACCACGATCCCCAAAGAACAAGCCCAGTGGGATAGGGTAAAAGGAAGAAAGAAAAAAAAAGTGCAGAGTGGGTATGAAATATGTCTGAGCTTTGATTGAATTTATTACCTTAATTTTCTGCTTTGAAAAAACAAGGTTTGGGAAATTCCTTCAGATTTAAGATAAACATGCAACACGGCTTCCACTCCTTCCTGATGCAGATCTTGCTTAACAAACAGTGGAATTGTAAACAACCCAACACTAATTCATTATCATTATCCCTGCTTACGAGAAACAAAACTCAACTATAATTCTATCAATAAGATGAATATACCACAGTGATGGCCTTTATGTAAATTATAATTAAAGCTAATCTTAATTAAAGTTATTACACCATTCTGGAAGAAAATAAACAACCCAAAGAGAGGGAAACAATGTGRTCAATAACTCACTCCAAAAATATTCTTTTTTTTTTTTGCCTCCAAAAGCTCACATGGAGGGAGACATTCCTGCACATGATACAAATGGTTCTGACATTAAGAAAAGTAAACAAGTAAGAAAAATAAAGATGGAAAAATTCTGTGGTCAGTTCACAAGTGCTTTTTTATTGTTTGAGGCAGGGTTAAAGCCTTTTATAAAGACAAGGATATATGTGCCGCTAGATTGGATATGACATCAGACTAGTCTAGCTGCCCTTGCACAGAGCTCTGCTGCCCATAATATGCCATGGATGAAGCCCGTGCTGATGCTTCTAAACAAAGAACCAGGGTGGGACCTAATGCAGCTAATTTAAAGCATTATCCCAAAGCTGTTTTGTAGATCAAACAGAGAGAAGGTACTCAGCTCTGGTTATTAATGGATTGGAGAGATGAAGGCAAACATTCAATAATCTCTAATTATTAATGGTCTCAAGGATTTTAATGTTAACTGGTCTGAACAGCTGATTAATGGAGGTTGTGTAATCTACAAGCGGGACTCCTGCCAGCCTCAATACATGTCATTCCAGGGCTGTGTTGACTCAGTAGGCCAGAGGCTATGTAAACGGAGTCGAGTCGAGAAAGGAGGTTCTTCTGGGGCAGCTCGGGGATTCTGAGCCCTCAAAGACTTTCACAATAGCAACTCTCTAGTAACTCACTTGGTATCTATAACTTTGGTTCTCCTCCAGACTTTGCTGTCCTAGGACCGTAGACACCTTGTCTAAATGCAAGAAGCAAAAAAATAAATGCTAAACCAGCCTTTCACACATTTTCAAGGGTGATTTGACTTGTGAACCAGGAAGTTCAAAGAAAGGCTAGTCACCCGAGTAGCGTGATCATGAGTATTTTCTTTGTGACATTAATGCTAGAACACAGCCAAGGATGCACAAAGACATAGCAACATCTCAAAAGCTATGCATCTAAATTCTGAGAGGTCCAGAGAAAAACGTGACATTCAGAAGGTCTACACTGTCTATAAAAGCCGTCGGGTCTGGTGGGTATTTTCTACAGTCTTCATTTTGATTTTCAACCCCCTGACCCATCACATGCCTTCATCAACTCAATACTTTTAAATGGCACTCAAAGGAGCAAGCCAGCCCATGCACAATGAGGGCCGTAGGCACAGTGAAGAAGGGCGTGGTTAAAAAGAGTCCCTGGTGCAACCAAGGGTGTTGGGAAGGATGCCTCACCCTACAACCTATTCAGGAGAGAAGATTTGAAAATGAATGAAGTAAGATAAAGGCCATGTTTTKGTAGTCGGAGGTTTAGGAAAAGCTATTTGATGTAGGGATTGTAACTACCAGAGTCCGGCTGTCAGTGTATGACCTGGCTGAGAAGTTATCCCTCTGAAAACCTGCAAATGGAAATGCATGACGCTGAAGGTTGGGGGGGCAGTGAGGGAGGAGGGACCTGTACCTATGCAGATCATAAAGGCTAAGATTTAAGGGGGAAAAGGGAGAGCATCCTCCCCCTAACTGTRACAATCCCACTAAAAATAAACCCACAGCACAATGATGTCAGAGGGGTCTTGACTCAGTAGGCAAGCTGAAGACAGTCTCTCTCACTAGATGGCAGTCACTGAGCATGCTCAGGGAGGCCCCAGGTGTGACCTCTGCTCCCCTGTGAGCAATGGAGGGACCAGGCAATCTATCATGGTGTTCATGCTGTCAACCCTGGTGCTTCGCCGCTGCTGTCTGTCACCCTGGTGGATGAGACCTGCTTAAGGGCAATCATGTCAATCTCTCTGTGACCACTCAGTCTAAGGCAGAAGGATGATCTTGACAGGCCTGGCAAAGTCAGCACAAGGTACCAAGAGCTGAAGTCACAGCCTTCCCGCAGAGATGCAACGTGGGCCATTGTTTTCTCTTTAGCTCTTTCTTTATTTTTGCTTTCCCTTTTTATTTTCATGAAATAGGCTAAGGCATACAGAACTTGGCTTCAGAGCTGGTCATCTCGGATAAACCTGTTGCCCTCTGAGTTTTTCCCGTAGTAAACATAGCGACACTTCCCCAGGACTCCTGTAAATAAAAAAGAAACACATCATTACAGGTGGCACAGTTACAATGACAGGGAGGCACAGGTGCTGAAACCCAGGCATGCAATACAATTGCGGCTCCTAGCAGTGGCAGAAATGGAAGAAGCCCCAGAAAGAAAAGACTATCTTTTTGTCCTCAGAGTTGGCATTCAAACAAAATGTCACTACTAAGCATAGGTTACGGGAAAAAGCATGTTTTCTGCATGATTTCCACACTTTAGGGACTTTGCTAATTTGGCAAATTACTCCCTAAAATACATAGCACAACATTCTCTTCTCTCCACGTTCCCTTCCTAGGTTTCCAAAGAGTGAAAAATTAAGTGTTTAAAGATGGACCTGGAGCCAGGTGCAGTGGCAAATGCCTGAAATCCCAGCAGCTCAGGAGGCTGAGGCAGGAGGATCACAAGTTCAAAGCCAGCCTTAGCAAAAGTGAGGTGCTAAGCGACTGAGTGAGACCCTGTCTCTAAATAAAATACAAAATACAGCTGGGGATGTGTCTCAGTGGTTGAGTGTCCCTGAGTTCAATCCCCAGTACCCCAACAATAAAAAAGAAAAATAAGAGAGGTCCAAGAAGAAGAGAGAGAACAATTTTCTCAGAAGGTGATGGCTTTGAAGTACTTTAAGCACATCCTAGATGATAAGGGAGAGAGAAGTGGTATGAACAAAACACCACATAGGCATCAGGAACTCTATTCTAGGGGAGAATGCATTCTGTTTTYACCTTCAGTTTAACTGTATGTCATTTGTGGCTTCATGTAGAGCTTTCCTCTCATTCAAGGAGACTGCAGGAGACTTAACTATGAAGAACACCCTTAGGATAGGGTGAAACTTTTTAATCAACTCACTACTAATTCTAAATACCCACAAGAAATCACCTGCCATAGTTATTGTGATAACCTTAAAGGGTTACTAAGGAAAAAAAAAATCAGCACTTTCAAGCAAATATTTATAACTTCATTTTGCTTTTTGTTTTGTTTTTTGAAATGGGCTCTCACCATGTTGCCCAGGCTGGTCTTGAAATCACGAACTCAAGTGATGCTCCAGCCTCAGTGTCCTGTGTGCTGGCACTACAAGTGGGTGCCACCCCACTTAGCTTTCATTTTGTTTCTTGTTACTTTTTTCCTTCCAATTTTAGACAAACTAAAACTTCAGTTGCACACCATTCTTTTGGTTCTAATAGGACTTAAATCTTGAGTGTCCAAAGTGCACATAGCTAAGAAAAAAAAGTCTATAAAACATTAGTTCACGAGCCACCACAAAATCTGCCTGTGAAAATAGCTACCTAGAAGAGCATAGTTTATTTCCATCCATGTGATAGTGTGAATTCAACTAACACCATGCTTTGTTAATTTAGGGGAAATTAGCACTTGAAATTAGCCAGGTTCTTCACATTAGAAGTTTTAAGTAGTAAATGTTTTTGAAAGTGAGAAATGCTTCTCTACTACAGAACTTTAAAGTTTGTTCTTAAATAGGGATTAAAATGACTCTTAAGGACAGGGCAGATGCTCCCTGGTTTTGATGGCTTGGGATAAATTGCTGGGGCCTGGGCATCTCTGAGTTGGAAGAGGGACAGACTGGTATTGTCTCATGCTGGCTGCCATTGTGTCCTGCCATGTTCCCATGAACAACTTTACTGTGGCTCACTCTTCCCACTTGGCCATACTTTCTCTCTTGAGCCTCCAACCCCCAATGTCTGCTTCAGTACTGGTCTGGAACCTAGAAATACTGAGCTGGGATGAACTCTCACTTGAGACCCTTCTTGGGGCCTAAAATATTCTTTTAGTGGTTGGAACTGAGTTGTTTTTCCTTTATTGTGCTGAATTACGTAGCACCAAGGGTTGTGCTAATATTGTTGGGGATCTCGGTGGTCTGTGGGCTGGGCTGGGCCAGTCTGGCATCTCCTACAGGCCTGGGTGGGAGTGCCATAGATAGATAAATGGGACCATCCCTGGGAGATTGCCTTAAACATGACTGATTCAAATGAACCCTCCATGGAAAGATGGGGCCAAAAGATGAGAAGTTCTTTCTCCAGCACCAAGACAGCATGGATTTCAATAAAAAGAAATGGATAGGGCTGTCAGATAACATAAAGATCATCATCTTCATCTTGAGCAAAACATGAAAGGCAGACACACACATGCTGCCCACCACRGGCATGCTCTCCAGTGCAGCCAGGGATGTGATTTCTTTTCTCTGCCCTCTCTCCATGGAGTGCTTCCACTCTGGATCTCGCCTAGATGCAACAGATGGAAACAGTTCTCCTGGAACGGGGTCCGMAATGTGTTCTGAGACACATTCCCAGACCTTCTTTCTGGTTGGCATTGATGAAAGTCCTTTTTAAGGCCTGCCCTGTTTCTTTGGGCCTGGAAGCAAGAATGTTTATAGACATCTTGGTGAGAGAGGGCTGTTTGATGAATGCAGGAGACTGCAGCTAGGTGTCAGCACTTGGGAAATGAGGCAAGGACATGAGGTATTAATATTGTCAATGATCTCTTGACGGGAAAACAGATACCGCACTCACTGTCAGATTTAAATAGACATCAAGTGCATTAATGACAAAAGGGCAGACTTCAAACAAAGGGGCTGTGTGGTGGGGAGCTGAGTTAGTCTCTGTGCCGGCAATAACCTGATCTGAAAAGACACTGTCAGGACGAGAGACAGGCCCAGGATTGTGTGCGGTGACAGAAAACAGAGATACTGACAGAGATACCAGAGCCATAGAATGCCAGGGATACTCTCACACTGTCTGCCATTCTAACACAAGCTGACATCACTCCCTATCACTTGGGGTCTTCTCCGCCTGCTCCTGCAGACATGAGGTTTCTCCCCAAACATCATCCCAAAGCTTGCTGTGGCTGTAAAGCTCCTGGCAGCCCTGGTCTGTTGGAGCAGTGGGGTCATGGGGCCTAAGGATAACCTGAGTCAGTCTAAATCTGGGCTTTGCAGGAGGCACAAGCTTGTTCTCACTGATATCTCTGCTACTTGAGGTGATCAGAGAGGGCCAACGTGTGAGGAGCTGTCACCTTGAATAAAATCCTTCAAGAGAAGGCACTCCTCGGTCCCTGGGCTGCTCCAGGAAGGCGGGGATGGCGTGGCAGCCAAAAATGAAACCCAGCTGCTGGTGCTCGCCAGAGGAGAAAGGTGCTCCAGCTAGTGACAGTTAAATTCGGTTAACGTTTTTGCACTGGAGCCATCTACAATGGTTGAAATTAAGCAAGCTGTTGCCTCTCTTGAGTTTCCTACCCCAGCTCACAGTGGGGATGTGATTACCCCCAAAATGCAACTTTTGTACTCAAAAATAAATAAAAAAATATTTACATGGGGGAGGCAAACAACAGCCTAGCACAGTCCCATGTGTGGCCACAGGACTTTCATTTATCATGAAGGTTTTTTTTTTTTTTTCCCCTGAAATAATAGGCTGTGCTCATAAATTAAGTGAGGTGGCATTATGGGTTGCTCTCTTCTGGCTGTCCCCCCAGCCCTCCTTCTCCACCATGGCAACTGCCAGACRCTGTGAAAATTACAGAGGGAACCGTCTGCTTGCAAAGAGCATTTTCTCAGGGAGGTGCTCTGAGGCTGGAATTTGGGAACCCGCTGGTTGTGACCCAGTAGGCCACGGTTTGGTTTCTGTGCACATCTGCAATGGATTCACTTGTTTGTATCTTCTCAAACTATAACATCTTAGAACTGGAGGGGGAACAACACATTTAACAGCATATGTGGTGTTTTTAATTAAAATATCTGGCTTTGGCCATAATGAGTGGAGCGGGCCTGCCATGCATCAGGCCAACACGCAGATGTCTGCGCAGGGTTTCTTTTCAGGGGCCCTGAAAAATGACAGTGCACCATCCCCGGGGGAATCCTCTCCTGCCAAATGAGACTCCTAATTTTTCTTAAGTAGCCAGCTTTCCCATCACCATAAGCTCTTAAAGCTATAATTATGAAAAAAATGTATTGGGARGAATATGTTTTAAAGAGGTCTTTTATCTTTTCAATGTTCCCCCCCTCTGGAACGGATGTTCTAATTATGCGAGTTGAGTTATGACCTTGGGGCTGCCTAAGGGGGTGGGAATGAGCCCCTTTTCTTGGATGCAAGGCTGTGACCATTCCGGAGACTTGGCTGGGGGAAGCCTGAATGTCCAGGGAAGAGTTCTTGCACACACACCTCTGAATCTGAATCCGGCACAGCCTCCAGGACACACCGACCCTCTGGACAGCCTCACACTTCTACCCTAAGAGGTGGTGGAAGAAAAGAGGTATTTCAATCCAGCCCTGTTCTTCATGGTCTTTTGACTGGGCACACCTCGCATACCCTCACTATACCCTCACTGGACTGGTATCTCCACTTGTAAAATGGGGACAAAGATACTCTTGAAGGTCCTTTTTAGTTGTGAAATAGACAATTAGCTTTTTGAAATGTTCCCCTTAGGGACACAAGGACGGTAGGTCCAATACTGCCGGGGGTGGGGGGAGGACCCCAAAATTTCCAAGAATAAAGGTTTTCACCAACTTTCTGACAACCTGTTTGACATAGAGCTGAAGGGTTGTCCCACATCCTGGTATCTCTGTCACCAGACAGAGTCTCACAGCATCATGGTCAATGGAAGGAAAGCTTACCTGGCAGAGCCAGTGACCTTCTGTCCACATTTCAGTGGTTGGGGCGGTGAAGAATGTGCACATACCAATATAAAGACATTTGATGACTGAGTGGAGGTTGGACCAATAATTCATATTTGCAAACTAGGGGAATTAAGTATCGATTTTATCATTACTTTTAGTTTGGGTAATCATCATTTTAAATGCCATTATCTGTTGACAGCCACAGCCGAAGGGGCCCCAGCAAACTTCCAGCTGCCAGCAAACTTCCAGCTGCCAGCTGATGATTGGCTCACAGCTGCCCCAGCAACTTCTAGCTGCCAACTGATTGGCTTCTCTGCAGTGATGCTCATTGGGCTGTTTCCCTGCCCTTTCAGACCACGGAGC